CGACAAACCCCGAACGCGATCCGCGCCGTTTTACCCGCGGATTTCCTCCCCGTAACCTCGCTCCCTTCCGTTCGAATCCCGCGCGCGTCTCCCTGATTCCCCCCTTTCTCTTTTCTCGCAATTTTCGAAATCACCGTCGCTCGCGCGCGAGGGTTGAGCTTGCCAGCCGGCCGCTCGCGCGAATTAATCGAAAGTTTTTATTTTCATCTCGTGGTATAATAATAATAATTATATATATATACATTATCATTCTTACACTTAAAGAGGGTTCCTCGATCTCTCGATAATATAATACAACGCATACACCTCCGAGTTCACGTAACCGAGCGACGCGTCCGCGATCGATCGCTGCTCGATCCCACCCACCCCCGCCCGCCCCTACGGAACCAATCAACGACGAAGAGTTTCTTCGAATGTCACTTCGTGAAAGCGAAACGAAAATTGTCAACGTTAAATCGAATCCGCGCGAACATCCCCTAACGAAGTGATACAATAAATACGGTGTCTCGTCGGGCCTCGAGGCTCGTCGATCGCGGCCGCGGCGTTATCCCCGGCGAGCAACATATGGCCACGAAATCGGACGCTAAAAAACGTGTTTCCTCGAGAAATATACACAACAGAGTCAGCTAGATAAATACAAGAACCGTGATCCGGGGTGAAATACGAGAAACGATCAAAGAAACACGTTCGATGCCAGCGATCGTCCGCGAAAACGCGTGCGCGTCCCCTAAATTCGCCATTTTATCCGTTCCCGGGCCGCGCTCGGCGAGCCAGCGAGCGAGCATGTCGGGTTTTTCGCCGGGCCCGGGCCTGCTTCGATTTCGTTTACAAAACAGAACGAAATTTTCGTTTTTATTTATTTACGTCTAATTTTTCACTGTGTCCGCCCCGCAGTCCGCGGGGCTGTTTTGGTAAAAATCGGTCGGGCTGGCCGCGGTCGTCGGTCTCGCGAGATTTTTCCTGTTTCCTGTCGCGTTTCCCTTCGATTTCTTTCATTCGTACTTAGCTTTCATCGGAAGGACTGAAGATACTTCGAGGAACCGTTGGCACCTTTGTAAAGAACGCGCGTCGAGTCTGAAAAATCGCGAGACCGACCGCCGAAAATCTCGACCAGCCGTTTTTAGTGACAAATAGATCACTAACTCGCGAGTTTCTCGCGTTTTATTCATCGTACACATCCTCTCGCTCGCTCTTTCTCTCTCTCCCTTTCGCTCTTTCGCTAGCATTCTCTCTCTCTCTCTCTCTCTCTCGCTCTCTCTCTTTCATGACTCTCATCCCTTAAATTACGTGTTTTTTTACCTTATTGTTTGTTACTGTCGTTATTGTTTATAATAGCGCTATCGTAAGATTATTATGATACAAGTAGAATCGTCCGTCCGCACGGCCAGCGACAATTTTCTTTTTACAGACTGACTTTTTTGTTTGCTTGGATACATGCCGCTTGGGTCCGCGCGTTCCGCGGAGTATTCGTTAATACGCGACTTATTAATTCCCCCGCCGGTAAATGTACTATGAATCTCGTGAACTTGTTCGTTTAGATTCGTACTTTGTAAACATATACAAATATTTGATACAGAGTCCTCCTTTACGTTCCACCGCGAAACTTTCTACAACTGAGGAAGCGGTTTTCGTTTGGGTTCTTTTCAAATTACTGTATAAAAATTCTCTATTTGCGTAAATGTTCGTTCTAGTTACGTGAATCTCCCAAGAGTACATTAAAATTCATCAAGGTTAGTACTGAATTACCCCCTTGCCTCGTAACTGTTTCATAATCAATGTACAATAGGAAAAGAAATTTTATGTTCAAGGTAGATGTACGTTTAATAATCGTGAAATGATACTTATCATCGGTCAATGTAAACTAAATCATTTAATTTAGAATTTAATTTTAAAGTCTCTTTAATTTTAGAAGCCATTACAAGGCAAGGGATTAATAATTCCACTTTACTTTTCGATAATAATTGTGTGACCCGTCCTGAATCAACAGAGAAATAAAAATGATACTATAACATTTATCAACAACGATACAATATTGGATACAAGGTCGATTGTAAATTGTCGCACAAGAAAATTAATTTTGACAAACGACAATAAATTTGAAAGAAAGAGAACGTGTCAGATGGATTACATTTGGTTAATTAATCCGGATACGTTTCTTCGTTTATTTAAATTACTAATGAATTTCCATTGCATCGATATACAAAACGTCAATATAGAAAACGGAGCGGAATAAATAATAAAATTGGCTAAATAAGTTTCCTTGCGAGTTAATTTCCAGTTAAACGCTGCGAATCCGACGACGCGCCCTCGCCGGGCATTGAAATCACTGGAGCGGCGCTGACACCAACGTTCCCTTCGCAATTTCGTTTCCCTGTATAACCAACTCCACGATTCGTCAAACCCTGTGCGCAAGACAATTCATCATATATTCACTCGCGAACGCTCGAATTTCCGGCTTTCCTTTCGAAATTGGCAGAAATACAAGTTTTCCTTCGAACCCTGATGCATTTCTCGCCACGTGACAGAACGCGTTGGACGTCGCCAGGCTCACGGAATCGATAAACGTTCGCTAATATTTTACCACGATCGGACACTGTTTTACCATAATTAAATCCTGGATGTTTTAAAAATGAATGTTACAAGAAACAGGAATAACAATTTTGGAAGGTCCTAATAAAGTTCTTATTTTAATCAGTGAAAACTTTATCTCAGACGTTAAACTTTTATTACACAAGATAGTATGGAACCTTTTATTACCGTTACTTTAAAAAGATGTCAACTGAAATAAAAACTTTATTTAAAATGTTAATGAGCATCAATCTTGATGCTACCCTTCAAAGGTACAATACCTTTAATAAAAGAAGTTACATCGTACCCGGTTTAAAATCCTCAAATTTCAGTTCAATTTGAATCTTTGTAATATAAAATCAAATTGGAAACATAAACAGTATAATTATAACACTTCCGACGATAATCGGAAAATCTGTCCGACATGAAACTTCACGTAACGTCCATCGAGCCAGCACGACGCGAAACGGTTCAAACTCCGAGCGAATCGAAATTGCGTCAAATTAAAATCATTCAATTAGACCTAGCAACAAATTAAATCTTTTTCCTAAATCTTCGTAGACTGACTTGGAAACACTGAACTAACATAAACTTTCATTTCTTTGATCAATCATCCCAGTAGAAAATAAATGTTGCATTCAATTCTATCAAATTCTTTTTTCACTGAACACAATTCACAGTTTTCGTCGTGATAACATCTCAACAACAGAAATTTCGATTTGTTCGAAGAACGCGAGCGCGTGCACGTATCAGTGCTGCCAGTAATTTCATCGAGCCCGAGTCGCACGCGATCAGATAATGCGGGCTGTGCTCGGCGCGTCGAAAAAATCCAACAAATGGTTCTCTGGTTCGCGTGTCTCCACCTCCTCCACTCGTCTTCTTCAATTTGTACACAAAATACCAACTATCTGCGCTGGAAAACGCACATACTGCTTGTATGCCTCGATATAATAATAATAATAATATACATATACATATACATACACACATACAATGTGTGTATGTGTATATATACACGTATCTATGTATATATGTATAATATTATATATATACGATGTGTCGTTTGTTTCTTCCTTTTACTCTTGCGTTTGGGCGCCAGTATTTTTTTTTTATTTCTTAATCTTCTTGTTACCTAGAGCTCAATATTTATAAGCAACCCTTCGTTCCGCCATGCGTAATATCGTGTAGCGTGTAGCGTGGATCGCGATTTCAGTGTTCTATAAATTACGCCTGGCCTCCAGAAATATTCCGTTTCCTCATTCGGTTTCAAGTTCCCCCATTTTCGAATCGCGCACGTGTCGCGATAAACCGCGAGACTAAAAATGGCGACTCGACATACGGGGTGAGTCGTCCAGCTTTACCATATTAAATTCGATTACTAGAAACTTTTCAGTTGTTTCATGGAGAAACGTTGTAGACCAAAATTGTACGGTATCGAGGGAAGTGTACAATTTAGTAATTAGTTTCTTTTTATTATTTGACTTTTTTACCAGAGCATGTACGGTAGCTTGAATTGTTTAAATGTAAATTTTGAGTATAACATTTGATACGTACTAAGCACTTTCGTACCCGATAAAGTATCAACATGAAAGAATACTAATTATTGCATCGCAAGTACCCTTGATATCGTACAAATTTACAAAGTAATTTAAGATGATAGGATTGGACAAGTCACCCTGTATAAAGTGATAAACGGAAAAACGATGGAAAAGGGAAACCGTTTTTTATCATTCCGTTTCTCTTGCTCTCCCTCTCTCTTTTCGTTTCGCGCTCTATTTCATCTTCGCCACCCTTAAAATATTTCTTCTTCGATCCACCGCTCTCACGCAATTTTTCTTCCCCAGAAAAAAGAAGAGAACAACACTCGCGTCACACTCGCACTCTCACACAGCGCACAGAGCACACAGTCCCGGAGAAAATGGATTACAAGTTCGTTCGACTACACGGTAGCCACGGCGCTCGACCAATGGAACGAGAGAGACGCTTCAACCCTCTACCACCACTGGATTGCGCAACTTTACACATCTGTGGAATACAAATATTCCCAAAAGTTTCGGAGTTACAAAAACAATTAAAACTTATTGTTACTTAATTCTTCACTTATCGTATTCATTAGTGAAGAGAATAATAATTTACAAGAAATGTTTATTTCACCGAAGAATACGAATCTTTGTTCACTGAATATTATTGAAACGTTCGTTTCGTTCGAATCGAACGCAAAAATGTAGAAATTCGACTGTATAATAATATTCGATGAATATTACTGAAATGTTCGTTTCGTTAAATTCGAACGGAAAAATGTGGAAATTCGAAATGTAGTCTCGCAGTCCAAGTGTGAAGCACTTCCGTAATTATTCGCGCCTCTCCGCTCGAAGGTCGTCGACTGCCTGCCTGCTTCGGCACCACCGACCAAACTGACGAATAAAGTTTAACACGGGCTTTCTGTATTTACAGTGTACACAATTGCTGCCTAGAACTCGGCGGAGTAAAAAGTTTAATAACGTTTAACGGGCAGACCGCAGATCCTTGTGAAATGTCACAGTTTTCTCAAGGGGTGATTTACGAGAACGAATGTCAGAAAGAAGTTTATTGCTCTCATTTTTCCAGGACTGACGTAACAGCACGCCGTAAAGATTTCACAAAAGCTGATAGGATCGTTGCTTCTAAAGAGAACCGTTAATTTACAGTCTCGTATTTTTGCAATACTTATTTCTCTTTTCAACGATGCCGAGACTTATTGGAATGTGTGCATTCGATATAAAGGATTACCGTGACAATATATCCCCTATTCACTGTGCGTGTTTTTAAAAGAAATCCATTCTATAAGGGTTCAGATTTTATTGCGTTTTTGTTGCAGATTTTGTTTCAATATATTTTATAAATCCATACAGTGACACACACATTCGCGACAATCTAATGTTTCTCTGTCGATTATACATAACACAGCTGAGTTTTGTATTAAAAAAAGACATGTACTAGAAAATAATAGTAAAAATATAAGTAAGGAGGACAAATAATTAAGAATTGTGTAACAATTTTTCTGTAAAGTTCCTATATTCTGAAAACAGGTGAACAATGGGCGTGTGTCACTACATGCGTGATAAATGCACAAAAAACGCTGTTCATTGAGAAGAATTTTTTATTTACAGATGAAACTGTTAATCGAATAAATGGATGTTCGTTTTGTTCTTATAAGTTAATGTACAGAAATCCGTGCTTGTACAAAGATCCACGGTCTACCGAGGAATCTTAAGTGTATGTTTCTTCTTTTCTGGTTGGCTTTTAGATATCGAACAGCTGAGTTCGCCGGCGAGTTGCGAGGGAGATCGACCGTACCGATTCTCTCGCAGCATTGGACGATCGTTAAAACTAGACACTATTTAGAAGGAGAACCGAAGGAGTTTTCTTTAAGGAAACCGGCTGCTTTCAGGTTTCCCGATAGAAAACTCGTCTCTGTTTCGGTTCCCAGTAATATTTCTCGCTTTTCTTTCGGTTCCGCTCGAAACGGAAGAGGTCAGCGAAGAAATTTTCCCTCTACATTTTTGTTATTTCCACGCGAAATCTCCGCGATCAATGATCTGGCGACCAAAACAGAAAGTATCGAGGCATGTTACGAAATTTCTCTTTATACACTTTAGAAATTGAAATCCGTCAAGATCGTCGTATCGAGGTTTCTTCATTTTTATAATTAATTTTTACTCGAAAACGTTAGTCGTTAATTGTTAAAAATCACCAAAAAGTATTGCACAAGTATTTCAAACGAGAACATTAATTAAACGAATTCTTTCTGAGAACAAGAAACTTTACACGATAATATAATTCAAAATGAAACAGGTAAAAAGAATGTGTTCGAAGCTAAAAGTACCTTATTTAAGAAAATCACCGTTACGTAACAACCAAAAACAATCTCTTTCCTCAAATTGCATTTATCTAACTGCCTCTTGTAAATGATTCTTCATTGATTGGATTAATTATCGGATGATCGTTCGATGACTCCTCCCCGAAGCGAACAAGGGTCGCATACCGCCGCCATGGATTCATGATAACAATAATAATGTAATAATAATAATAATAATAATAATAATAATAATAATAATATAATAATCAATAATAATAATAATTAATAATAATAATAATAATGATGATCACTAAACGTACGCGCTATGTATACTCCTGTACAAAGTTGCGTGCAACTAGACGACGAGGTCGCGTTTTTCACCTCGTCACTTTCATCGTTCGCCGGTCAATCGAGCGTCTATTTCTCGTTAAATTTCACTCGCTTCCGTTTCCTTTTTTTCTCCTTCTTTTTACAATAGTCGGTGAGCGTCCGCTCCACAAGGCAGCTCCGCAAACGAGAGAGCGAGAGGGAGAGAAAGAGCGGTATACAGAGCGATCACCTGGCAGTAAAGGAAAAAACAAACTAATACCGTATATATTCTTGTCGAATCGAACAAGATTGTCATTGGATCCGCGCGCGGTGCACCCCAGTCAGCTTCCGGTCATCGTGAACAAATCGCGTACGTAACGCGTTAACGCGTTCACCGAACTGCGTCGGTTGATTCTTCAAAAGAAAGGACACGCTAAGCGAAAAATCACGAGGAAGCGTTTGCTTATCGCGCAAATCTCATGTAGCTTTTATTTTTAATAAATTATTGAAACGAGGTATTCGTCGAAACGTCAACATATAAAAACATTCGATGATTCATCAATAATATTCTCAACCGTCACTGTTTTCACTCGTCGAGGAGAAGCAAAGGAATTCATTTGAAATGAAATTAGGAACCACGACTGGTACTACTTTTTAGGCAACCCTTAACAACGCCGTGCGTGCCCCGTGTGAATTTTAATACCTGCTACCCTCGGCTCGCTCTCTCTGTCCCTCTCTGAGTATTTCGCGAGATAATTTATTCACAAGACGTGTCACACGAACGGTAAAGGGTTAAAAGTTCGCGATAATCGTTTGACTTGTACACACGATGATGCCGGATGATACTGATGATGAGCTAGCTTCGATGGCGAAAACGAGACGGTGTTGTTTTTTCTTTCTTTTTTTTTTCTTATCTTTACATCTAGGGAAAGGCTCGTTCGCAGGCGTGCGCGCGCGCACGTCACGCGCCCGGGATTGCTCGTGATTCTCGTCTTTTCTCGATCTAATGCCACTATCGATCTAACTAACGTCCACCCCGCGCGAAGATATTTTCGGGTGAAGACGCGCAACAAGCTACTTTCGTTCTTAATTTTAACAAGAGTGAGCAGAACGCACCGAACGGAGTCCAAATCTTTTCTTCTACTTCCCTATCTTTTCTTTCTTGGTTTTTTTGATTCTTTCAGTCGTGACCCGTGGAATCAGACCCTAACGATCTGCGAGTCGCTCTGAGAATTGTTTGCGATTTTAAACTTTCGATTTGACGATCAAACGGGATCATTTTGCTACTGTTCAACCCCTTGCCTTGAAGTGTAGACTCGTGATAATGATTTTACATTAAATTCCGTTAATACGATTATTATTATGCTTACATTAATTAATTGGAAAAACTGTTTCATGTCTGTGGAAATCTAATCTTTATAGTAAATTTATTTTGTCAGCATACAGTTTCTTTATCATAGAGAATAATTCATAACAAAGTAACTGCGAGTCCGAATAGAAAGAAATCCTAAGGCGAAAGGTTAAACAACCCCATATTTTCGGGGTAATTCATCAAGCACTTCAATATCTCGCGATTACCAATGCCATGATGAAAATGAAAATCGCGACGCAACTCTCAGTTCCTCCAATCTGCTCGCAACACTCGCGCCGAGTAAATGCAACAACACTGAGAAACGAGTTCAGATGATCTCCCGTTTGGGAGGTCGGAACGTTGCCTCAATAAACTATTCACATAATAGTTATCTCAAAGCATAAAATACACAACAATTTACAATTGAACCGAGAGAATTGCCGAAACAAATTTAAGAACGACCAGTCCACCGATTCGCCCGGTGAGTCAATAAATTAATTCCAAAGTAGGAAGTAGTCACACAAATATTCGAGTTCATCGGACGAATCCCGAAATCCTCGTCCCTCGTTCCGAATTCCCAGCAAACTCCTCCGAAGAATCTCCGCTCGATTATTCCCAGACAATTTGGTGAGCCCGTGTTCTCCGGACAATTACCTACCCCTTTGGAAAGATTCGCTATCGAGCGGCGCGAGAGGCGGGAATGAAACGCCGCGACGCAGCGGTCAGCGTTTTTCGCCCGGTCGCCTCGCGACGCCTCTTGCATCGGGGAAATGCAACGGCTTAGAAAATATCCTAGAGTGTCGGCGGTGAGCGACGTGCACGCGCGAACGAACGAGCATCCGCGGTGGCGAAATCGTCGGGTGACCCGTGGGACGCGATCCAATCCGGCGCGGGTTCACCCTTATCACAATCTTGAAGCGCGACGTTCGTCGTCGGCGTGGTATTAAGAGGGTCGGATGACGGCCGCGCGACGGTGAATCGGCATGTGTGTTAAACGGTGAAACGATGGCGACGACGACGGCGTCGATGACAGCGACGTGAGAAGAAGGCGGAAAAGAAAGAAAGAAAAGAGGACGAACGAAAAGTAAAGGAAAAAAGCCACCGTGAATGTCGGTCCGAGTATGTACCGCGCGCCGTTCCTCAGCAGGCGTATGTCATCCCCCGGAAGCCACGTGATACCCGATTGCAAATTTTTAATTTATTTCCTTTCTTTCTCTTTTTATCCGGCCTCGACGCGAGGCCAACACACTGCACCTTCACCTATACCCGCACCACACTGTAGCACCTCAACACATTGCGATTGTCATGGCCTATGGAACCTGGAACCGACGAATCAACGGATATTAGTGGTCCCGTCCGCAGCGGGGGTTGGTTTTGGTTAACCCTCGGTCAGCGATCGCTCGATCATTTTTACCCGGTTAAGGATTATGCGTGATTTTCGTTTGATAGTTTGGAACTTTTGCGGAATGATTGTCAGAATTTATTTAATTTCTGGAGTACTCTGAGTTTTGCTTTGTTTTCTTTTCGATTGTAGTTCGAGGTTTTCTTTTTTCTCTCTGAGAGTGGTTTGTGTTTTTGCTTTATTTTCTTTTTGAGAATTATTCGAGCTTTTTAGTTTGTTTTCTTATTCTTTTTCGAGAATAATTTAATGATGCTACGAATTTTATTGGGCTGGTAGAAATAATAATATTACTGTTTTATAGAATATGAAGTAACGTACTGTTCAGCTGAACATGGGAATTATATTTAAAAAGTCCTTTTGATATTAATATTTTGGATACTGTTGCGTTTGTTTAATTTCTGTGGCTTGGTAACTTGTTCTGTTTAATCAAATGTTTTTTGTCAGATATGGTAAACGAACAAATGTTTTGTATGAAATTTCATTTGATTAATACGGATGCAGGTGGAAGTAAAAACGTTTGTACCGCAGGACTGGAAGCAAATATACGTAGCTGCGAAATATGAGGCATCCCTTGGAAATACAGATTTTTGTATTATACTATTTTCCGTAAAAATGTGTGCAATTTTCCTTGTTGATTGCGATGAAGTACACTTTCATTACTGTCGCACAGAAATGTTTTGAATGAAATATGTGCGTTATATTTCCTTCCAGCAGCAATACATTTTGCAAATAATTATTTTATCGTGAGTTTTATATATAATTACAAATGTTTAATACAAAGAGGCCAGCTACTGAATTCATCGGAATTTTAAAAATCTTTTGACAAATAACATCTCAGGTTTTCTAATTCTGATTTCCAAACATTAAAATTATTATACAAATTTGAACGATAATAGTCTAGTAATAATATAATATAATAATTTCATATATCTTACACGAAGAGGTCAAACATTGAATTGATTTAGAATTCAAAAAATCTTCTCACAGATTACATCTCACTTTTTCCTAATTCTAAGTTCCAAAGATTGGAATTTTTATATGAACTCTAATGATAATAGTTTAGTAATAACAGTTTGTATATCAATGGACGTATAAAGTTACATTAAGGAACCACCGAGCAGTTGTAATTAAATTATCACCGGTGTAATTTGCGGGCGGGTTAAAATGGCCACAGCGGTCGCTGATCCTAATACGCTGCCTGAGCATTCGACGATCGAGGGTTGAGGGTGCATGGGTGAACAGATTAGCTAGTCTTCGTGGGACGTGTGACATTCATCGAGCGGAACAGATTTAACCCTTTGGGGACGGTTCACAGACACTTTCATCGACACTGTTCCCGTTTGATTCTTTCAACGATTCGTTGTAATAAAAAAAGAAAAAGAAGAACACTGTCCCGGGAGTAGGGAAATTTACGAGATATAATTCGTCAGAGTGTACAAAACAGGTAAAGAGTGGAGTAAAACGTACAAAGAGGTAAGAAAAAATATAGAAGAAAAGATACAAATATATAGAGAAAAATAGAAGAAGAAGAATAGAATAATAGAAAGAGAAGAATAGAAAGAGAAAGGAATGTAGAAGCTGCAAATCCACAAAGAAACCACCAAATTAATTGAAGAATGTTCAGGATTAAAAACTATCGGAACAGAGAAACGTATATTTTGATTGACTTCGTTATCAAAAAGAAAATTTACTCTTATATCTAATGGAACACACGTTCACGCCAACTTGTTCCATTCTTCTCTTTAACATTTCGTAACAGTGTGCATTTCCACATACCGTTTCGTGCACGAATCTTCAAAAGAATGGTGTAGAAGAATAGTTCAGAGTTCAACAGTTTTGGACATAAGAAAGGGAGGTATGTACAATGAATATTTTGTAGGTACGTTAGAAAGAAGAAAACGATCGCAAACCAATATAAGATTTACGTTACATTTAAAGTCTGTGCACCGGTGAGCCAGCTAATCGGCTACTTTCGTGGTGTCTATCGTCTACTTCCGGTGGGTGGAGATAGGGGGTGGGTGGATTAGATGGTTC